ATTATTTTTCCTTCTCCAAAAATAAATTAGGAAAAAATATTTGCTTAGTTCTTCGCGTTACGCGTCTACTATAATATTATATATATACGTTTGATAAATAAAATAAATAATAAAACATATGTTTTAGAGGATTAAAAAGAACGATAAAATATGTTCGATTATCTTCTAGTAACAACAGAACTGTTAAACAATTAAACTCGAATAATAGAAACTGTTAAAGGTAATTAATACCATTGTTGATATTAATAATGAATTATTTATATATATATAATGAAAATCGAGGAGAAATATGTTTGCTCATTAATCACGATAAACGAATGTATTTCGTTTGTAGTATCGATTATATTATGTTAAATTGCTTTTCCGCAGTGTGTAATAAAGTTAAACATTAGGTGTGCCATACGTTATTATTGTCATCGTAAGTGAGATATTAACGTCTTGTATTAAAGGGTAGCGAAAAAGTACGCGTTTACGAGAGTATACTTTATCCATTTTCTTGTAGTTGCAGCACGTACGAATAAACGAGTACGAACGTGGTTCTCGTTTCGTAAAACGGAAACTACTTACTTCGGTTGTACCTGCTGGAAACGAGCCGTCGTTTCATCGAACTCTCTGTAGAGTCATATTTCAATGTCTACAGGATTGTTTTCATTCTCGAAACTAGTATAGATCTATCCAACGTTAATAATTATTCCTACGATTAGTTTTTTTTCTTATTGGAAAATAATCGATATTCCCGCTTTATTTTTTAATCAGCATAGTTAACATAATTTTATTATATATACCAATAAAAAGGAAAATTTAAGTAAGTATGTTATTTAAATCAAACGCTTTTATTTGTTTTTTTTTTCTTTTCTTTTTCGGAATTCATTGAATATTGATTTTATTGAATATCTAATCTAATGAAATATACATCATTTCCGAAACTAAAATAATCCAATTAGAAATTCTTTTATTTTATTTTATATTTTTATCGGAAATATGAAAACTCTTTATAAGTCATATACAATTCAGATCAATTCCGTACAACTCTAGGAAAGAGGTTCGAAGAAGTTCCGTTATAATTTCATAAGCCGTAGGAGCATCTAACTGGTAAACTCGATGGTGTCGTACGGTCGAAAGGGTATTTCGAAGTTTTAGGGAGCCAGAGAAGACCGGGTCAGTGTCATTAATCATTTTCGTGCCGCTTCATAGACGCATGCATTATTCAAAAGCGTTTTCGCCCAAGCTATGCATAACTTTTGTCCACTTTTGCAAAAGATACATTCGTCAAATACTTTTCCAATCTATATGAGGAAAATCTGCGAAGAGAAAACATCGATTAGATTTAATAATAAATCATCTCTCTCTCCCTCTCTCTCGCTCTCTTTTTCTTTCTCTTACAAATGAGAATTTCATCAATTTTTTTTTATCATAGAATAATATGCATCTGTTATATATTTTCTTTCGTTAAATAATCATTTTATTTTTAAAATAGATACTCGATTCTATCCTAAAATCCTAAAAGCTCATTTGATATTGAAAGACAGTCAGGAAGTGAAAAGTTCCGGAGAATAACTATGAAATAAAACATGAAGACCATCCATCGCTTTCAAAAGATCCGTAAAATCTTATAGAAACGAATGCAACATCCGTCTAAGAGATTCGTGAGCGCTTGCTTGCGTGTAAATGTAAGCACGTGTAGAAAGTACACACATAGGTGTACTTATCACTCCCGAGATGGTGCAAGGCCACTCGACCGTCACGTACCTCGGATTCTTCAGACGTATCCATCCTACACGTATGTATAGGTATATGTACACAAACCTTAATCATTCAAATGCATACAGATACGTATGTATGCATTCATATTTGTATATGCTATATTATACAAATAGTACGAGTTTCACTATCTTTTTCTTTCACGATGAGCGCCTGTGAAAGTTACTATTTTTCTTATTCTTTTTATATTTATTTTTTCCATTCCTTCAACTTTTTCTCTCCTTCTTCTTCAACTATAATTTTTTCCTCTTTTCTTCTCTCTCTTTCTCTATCTTTCTATCTTCTTGTCTCCTTCATACTTTTTTCGCGTGGCTCGTTTTCAAAACGAAAATACAGCTTTCCAAACGCCCCAGTGAAATTAGTTAATCTCAACTATCCTTCGACTTCGTCTAACTTTTCTCTAGATATTCCGCTTTCGCGTTGCTCGTTAGTCTCAGCAAATTTGTAATCGGGTAGAAAAGACTCACGGAATGCAAGCTCGATGATTTTTTTTCTCATTTGTTTATTTTTTTTCTATTCTTCTTTCTTAATATAATTCTCCTTCTCGTTTGACTGATTTTTGTTTTCTTTTTTTTTCTGCATTGTTGTAATAAAAAATCGAATTTATATGATATCCCGTGTCGTATTTGTTTCTTTTATTGTAGCTTATTTTACTATGAATCAAATAAACCGATTAGGCGATCGTGAGTTACGTGAGTTTGTATACTAAATTAAATAAAACAAGGAAAATTCAAAGAGAAAGTAAAAAGGTATGAAGTAACTTAGACTATGCACGCAACTGAGTTTATTGCCTAAGGATACTAAAGTTCGTTCATACTTGAAAGGAAAGCAACGTTCGTATGATGGAAATTTAAACGTTGCCAAAAGTTTTGCATCTCTCTCTAAAGATCGAAGAATTTTAAAAGAAATCTGTTTTCGTTATTTCTTTGTGTATTATAATACAAAAACAACATACAATGTAATATACAACGTAATATAATTATTTATTTATTTATTTATTTAATCACGGGAAGCAACCTTTGATATATAATTTGGATAAATTATTATATATTGTTAAATCAAATCTGATAAAGAGTTAAAAAGATCTAAAAGATCTTTAAATATATATTATGTTCAATATGTACATTATACAAATATTTAACATTATTTTCAACAACGCGTTGAATATTATAATATTGTATAATAATAATATTAATAAAAAAAAACATACTAAACGTATATATGGATTGACAAAGATATTGTGGTCTATAGTCTCCAACAACAGGAACGAGTTAAACGGTGGTCAGAGTTCGTCCTGCCGTAAATTCAGTTTCTACTGGCAGTAGTACAACGTCGCTTTAAAACGATCGCCTTGAAACTTGTGCAGGCAAGATTGGTAGAAGCTTACATACTGTTGCGAGTTCAGTTCACGGTCTATACACAATGAAATCACATAGAGATCGTTCTGAGAACACCGGAAACCGTCGTCGTCGTCCCAAATACCTGCGAATGACATTCGTGGAAAATCGTCTCGGAAGTTAAACGTTGTCAATAGTCAATGCTTTTGTTGATCATTTATTATTGATCGATTAAGAAATACGTTCGTTTACTTTATAAAATAAAAAGACCGTATTTCTTTGTTTTACGAGAAAGCGGAATTCTATTTAGTTTCATTAACTAGAACTATCAATATTTATTTTCCTACTTTTGACTGAAATACTACGTTAAGATACTCGAAGAAGAAACTATTTAAGTTTCTTTACTTGCTTAGTTACTTTCTTTCTTTCTTTCAATCTTTCTCTCTCTTTCTCTTTCTATCTTCTTCCACTACTTAGAAAATCAAAGCAGTATTTTTTAAATCGAATCTTACCGTAGTAAATTCAATGAGTTACAGTACAGTGGTCCTGAATTTCCTTTGATATCTCAACTGGATGTATAAGATAGTTTCTGCTATGTTCATAAATAAATCTATCCTTGGATGTTATATATAAATGCGCATATTTGTCTATTGAAGATATGTGAAAAAGGGAAATAAATAGTAAGGAAGGAAAAGGATGGATAGATTCATTGCTTCGATTTATTATAGAATTGCACGAAAGGAAAGATTCTTCGATGTTCGACGTGTTTTTCCCCTTTAATCGATTAGTTTTGCGCATCCATTTTTCTTTTCCTTTTTTCTTTTTTTGTAAAATAAATAAAAAACAAAAAATAAAAATGACTCGTGTAATATCTTATTTATATAACAATGAACATTTACATTTACATTTCTTTTCCTTGAGTGATATTCTTCCTGTATTATTTATTCTTTTCTTCTCTGTCACTTCAACATATTTTTTCATTTTATTTTGCTTCCTTTATTTTATTTTTTTATATCCTTACACTTCCATTCATTTGGATATTTTCTCTTCTCCCAACATAAGTCTTGTTATTCTTTTCTCGACGACGATGTTCATTTTATCCTTTTTAATCTTTAATTTGCCAACCAGAAACACGTTATTGCCATCAACCCAAATAATCTTGAAATGTGAAGATCTTGACGTCGAATTTACCGGTTGACCGTTCCTTTCCACTTATTTTTTACTCTTTTTTCATTTTTATTTTTTTTTCGTATAGAAAATATTATTTTGATACGTTGGTTATATACGCGTTATTATTATTACACATTGGACATAACAAGTTCTATACAATTTTGTATTTTTTTAATTGACATTAAGAAAAATGTTTAACATTGAATGTGATGTTCATTCATTTTGATTTTAATGGACATGAAACACACGATGTTAGTTAAAATATAAACATTTTCGAAATATAGAAGGATCTCATATAACATGTTACATTTTTAACACTGATTAAAAATTTTGCTTCTACTCCTATATAAAACGATTACAAAATCCTCATTTTTGACATGAAAACATATAAGCATTTGAGTTAACTCGAAAATTACAGTTCTGTATCAACTCTTGACCGATATGAAAAATTTGTTCAAATTGTAAATTGTGGATCAGTTATTTCTATTTCTATTATTTCTTTTTCCGTCTGAAATAAAGTAGTATACAGAAATGCATGGGAAACTTTTACTTTCGTTTTTTTTTGAAACAATTAAATTTAGGTTTTTACAGTTTGCACAAAGTTTGGTCCTGATGAATATCTAGAACTGTGTAGAATTAAATGAAATATCTGTGTTCTGTCAACCTGACTCTTAACTTGTTAGAGAGTTCTATTATATTTCAATTTTGAATAATTGATTTTGATTGTTTCAGAGACGCTTGTCATGACTCCTGGACGCAACTTCGATTATCAGCGGTCTTTGGTTGTATATGTCCAAACAATCACGTAAAGAAACGATGCGACAGGGTCTTCTCATTGGTCAATCATAATCCATGCGTCGGTGAGTATAAGAGAAAACGAGAGTGCAAGAATGTGAGAGAGTGACTGATGAGAGAAGGGAGGAGTTGAGATGAGACGTAGCAGATTCGATCGGTAGGTCGAAAAATCCTCTGCATTTGTTCGTCACTGTTTGAACGTACGAGTATTTCTATTTATATTATAAACATAGATAAACATTAATTAATTACAAATAGAAAATTATTGTTAATACTCGATCAATAATAAAATCGAATGAATTATTAAATGAATGATTACAAAATACTCTTACGATCGTAAATTTGTGTTTTTGCGTATATTATAGGTACTGGTAAACAAAGGATCGTTTAAATTATTATTAAAATACTATCCGTTAAATATTACATATTAAACAAATATTAAATCATATGTAATCAACATTTCACACATTAATAAAACGATCCTTTATTTACGGTATTTACATCGTTTTAAAATTCAGTCTATTTTTCTTGTACGTTGAATCGAGTAAAAATTGTTGCTCGATGAATGAACGAGTATAAAAATGACTATAGCACCTTGTGAAAGTCGACTGTTTGTGTTGTGAAGTAACTTGGATGACGAATTTTCTTTCGTCATTTTGTTTTATGAGATTACATCTTGCGTCTCTATGTATCTGTATCATGTACAAATTTCTCATTTTTTTCTCTCTCGTTATTTTTTTTTGTTTCTATTTATTTGATCAATGTATGCGTCGGATTGAAAGGTCTTATCGATCTTGGATTTAAAAGCAGAGTGTTGCATTTAGACAATTCATTTGATCGAGAATAATAATACTCAGTCTACGATATTTTTTTGTAATTGAGGACGCGATTAGAAAAAAAAAACAAATATAGAAGAAGCAGTAGCGAAGCAATTACTTTTAATGATACTGCTGTATTTAGAGCTCGCAAGACGTCGTTATAGCATCCTTTAGATAAGCTCCCTTTTTCCTAATTAACCGAAAACTCATGCTATTAAAACGTAAATTGGGTTTTCATTGTATAGTCGATTGAGTCCTAATTTTATTAAAAAAATTATTCTCTCCAAACGATATTTTTACATCCTTAAGAAACTCGTTAAATAATTTTTAGTTTCTTCTAAAAATGATTAATGATTATTTCATATAATCCCTATAAAAATAATTCTATACTGATTAAAAGTTTATAAATAAGGTTGGTATGTCTGTAAAAAAATAGTATATCAATTATATATACTTGCTTATATCCAGGATCGATGACGTTTCATATATTTTTGCCTCGCAATGGTAATTTTATTGGCATTGTTAAAACACGAGCGTGCGGTCACGCGCGAAATGCAATGAAAGATACAGGAGAGAAGGAAACGTAAGTAAGTAAGTTACAAATATCACACACAAGGGCATGTGTGACCTATGTGCAAATGTTTATTATCTATGTGCGCGTCTGCGGAACGACTTCGCATTGTGCCATAGGAAGTAAAATGGCAAAGCAGCTTAAACATTGCAGTATAAGTGTTGCATATTTTAGCGAGATCACATTTATGAAATTTTCAGTTGTTGCGAAGTTACGAGATTATCGAAATAAATGCCGAAAACTAGTAGGATCATTAATCTCTTTGCGTGTATACTTTCATGTAATTATTATTATTATTATTATTATTATTATTATTCTTGTTTAAAATTTATATTAATGATCTAAAATTACTAGAGTAATTTATTGTTTCGTAAATATACATATAATAGTTCTTGATACTTAAATTATTTGGTCGGAACATAATGATTATTGTTCTTTTATTTTATTTTTTATTTTTCTTTTAAAATATAAATTCTTAAAATATCTTTTTTTTTGTTTTTTTTTAAATTCTCTTAAATGTAAACCAGGAAAGAAAGTGAAAGGTAAGTAAATTACGCGAAAGTATTCGGTTATGAATTTTTATCTCGAATGTCGTTGAGAGAAATCAAATAGTAAAGAAAAATATAAAACTCGAATATAATAAAACGTAATACTGTAATTTGGCGAATACGCTTCGTGATAAGATATATTAATAGTTGAGTATTTTAAAATGCACCATGAATCGTAATTATTACTTTGTTTTAAATATTGATCGGAAAAATGCGAATAAAATTTTTTAAATATTCAGAAAAACGAAATCTATGCGATTGGATAGAATCATTTAAATGCAATACCGCCGAAGCGCAAGCAGATGTTCGAAAAAAAAGAAAAATGGAAATAAAAATATTTCCGTGAATTTTTGTCGTTCAGTGACGTTTTAGAATATCAACTAACAATAAAAGATCTAGGAAATCCGATTCGGTGCAAGGAACCAAAAAGAACGCGGATCGATCCTGAAAAACCCTGGTCTGCACGTGCACTAGCACTTCCTCTAAACATATGTACTTGCTTTTTGTCGAAGAGTTTGAGCTTCGAAAACGTCCGTAATAAATTCAATATCTACTTAAAAAAAAAATTCATTTTTCTTATGCAATATTTATATTGTATTTCGATAAATAAGAATAGAATAGAAATTGGTTTTTTACGCGTACATATTTACGTTAACAAATAACTTTATTTATTTGTGAAGAAAAAATTGATTTACTTATATAAAAATATTTTACGTAAGTATATAATATATATAATATAATTATTATAAATATATTTTCATATCGTATTTATTTATTTCTTAATTCAAATATTATCGTATCTTTTTATTGCGCAAATAAATCATTAGTTTTCGATATAATCGAATTCGTTAAATTATTTTTATTATTTTATGTAACAGATGCAAATCCCAGTGTTTACCATAGATTTCCGGCGAACGAGTATATGATTTCGAAAACGCAAACGAAGTTTCCGAAGCAGAGTACACGTAGAATGTGCACCGCATGATGTACCTTTGCATGAGAAAGAGTGATGAACGCAAAAAAAGAATAATAAAAAAAAGTTTCCTATGGATGCAGCAAAGTATATCTCGTACGTATTTTGGGCCTGCATGTCCGTTCTCTTATTTCTCTCTGTAACGTGCCTGTTAGATAGATGAACGTCTATTTCAACTATCTATTCTCTATACTCGACTCAACCTTTCATATCTTATCCTTTAAGACTATTCATTCTCCTTTCTGATATAAACTATGATTGATCAATATATCGGAATTGAAAAAGAAAAAAAAAGTATATAAATTTTCCACAAAATTTCTAATAGAATTCGTATCGATCGTATTTGGAACGTGCTCTTTGCAATCAATTTTTGCAAATATAAATGATTTCATTCCTACTAACGTTAGATATCGAGAATTCTTTGAGTGATAATCTCCAAATTAGCACTAATCAGGCAATATCATTGCCACTATCACTACCACACTATTACTATCACAATTATCACGATCAACAGAAGCAATACACTACTCGCATATATATATGCGACACATATATATATATAACACATCACGACGCAAACCCGTCCGTGCACGTTTACCGATGCGATCACGCACCCACTCACCCCGTTCTCGTCCGCGTCTCTGCTTTTGTGTTACAGAATATCTGCCCTCCTCCGCCTCGGTAGACCTATCGGGCACGGATTCAGCCCTCTATCCATTCGACCCGCAGCAGGAGAGCTACCAGGAGATCTGGTTACCGCCGACCAGTATGTATCCCTATTTTCTGTTCCCCGGGACCGCGCGCACTTCGTACCACGACTATGAAATACCGTACGAAGGCCAGGAACAGGAACATCGCCGTCAGCACGGCCATCGTCATCAGCCCGGTCGCCACCAAGAGGAACCGGAAAAGATTGGCAAGCCAAGCGTGTTCGTCGTCGACGCGAACGATCCAAGGAGGAAAGATTTAAACAAAGCTGATCCTCGTTACGAGGATCGTTTAATCGTGACCGACGACGAACACTTTGCTGGCCAGTTAAACCTTCCAGGTTCAAAGTTTGGCGACCGGAGGCAGAAGGGTGCCAAGGGAGACGTGATCTTTCAAGATTTCGATGGCTCCTCCTCATTCTCCAATATCCATTCCATATCTTCTTATCCTTCATCCTCATCCTCTTCTTCTTCTTCTTCTTCTTCTTCATCTTCTTCTTCTTCTTCTTCTTCTTCTTCTTCTTCTTCTTCTTCTTCTGACGCATTTTCCAAGCATGATCGTGCCTCCAACACAGTGCACCTGCAGCCAAGGCACCCCCACCAAAGCGAGCATGACGCGCACCTGCACCATCACCATCATCACCAGCACCAACAGCACCACCACAACCACAATCAGCACCACTACTACCACCATCACCCTGCACCTGCACCGTCCCCGTCGTCTTCGTCTTCTTCCTCGTCGTCGTCGTCGTCGTCGTCGTCGTCGTCGTCGTCGTCGTCAGGATCCTCGTCCTCGTCATCGTTGTCGTCGTCGAACGCGCACCCACCGCGACCGACGCCTACCGTTGACGAAACTAAACGAATCGAGACACCTCAAGTCGCGCCACCAAAGAAATTCGCACCGAGGCCAACCTACGAGCATCGGGCGATCGTCGATCGCGTCGACGACGACCTCGATGACATCGAGTTCAGGATCGGCGCTCTGCCAGTCGATCGGTTCTTCGATCTCCGTGAGGCTTTCGAAGGCTTCGTCGATCAAGGTTCGTACACGCCTGTTACGATCACGACTGAGAGATCGCCGACGATCTTTGTTTTGATGCTGCAACATCGAGGGATCATCGCCCTCTTTCCTCCTTCTTATTCTTAGTCTTATTCGATATTTACTATATTTATTTCCTTTTTTCTTGTCATTCTTATTTTTTTTTGCTTACCTTCTCTACTTCCTTTTCGTCAAAATCCGGCAGTTATTATATTACTATGTTCTATTTAGTTCGATTACTAAAACAAACAAAAATAATATATTTTGTAGCGACACCGAGCAAAAGATCGTTTTTTTTAAAATGACGTTTATTTACGTTTTCCTTGTTTTTCTTTCTTTTTTGGAACAAAATTTAATCCTTCGCGCGGTTAAATTCAACGTTGATACCACGAGTGAAAGAAGAACGACCTAAACCCCCCGCCGCCTATCCTGGCACTTTTGACTATTCGCGGCACGAATTTATGTTATTGGTGCACGGCCAACTCGGAATTTATATACGGTACGCGTGAGACATTTGGATGAAAGTTAAGTTTAATCGTGCTTTAACAGTCAAGTAAAGCTAACGACAAAAAAGTACGAAAAGTACGATTATCTTCCGTTACGGGGCTTACGTTATTGTACTTGATCTTACTTGCTTTTTTTTTTTTTATGTTTTTAAGACTTTATTTCAAACAGGATAATATTATTTATTCAAACGATAAGAGTGAGAACGTGCGCGTAGTTTTATACGAACCTTGAACAATTCATTACGATAGGATTACTACCAAAGGGAGAAAAATTTCATTTTTTAAAATTTGTGAGAATAAGAGTGAGTGAGAGAGAGAGAGAGAGAGAGAGAGAGAGAGAGGAAGAAAGGGTCAAGAAAAAGATACAACAATTTGTTTTTTCAATTCAAAAAACGAACTGTTTTAATTTAACGGTGAAACGAGTGAGGCGATCCACCATGCTCCGATACACTTGTTCATTTACAGTGAAGGTCATCTCTCATCCGGATAACTCAACGAGCTTTGAAGTAATCGAGTCTCAAGTGGAGAATCCATTGATTGATGCCGATCATCAAGATCTTCTCGCGATGAAGCAAATACCAGTGCCTGGAGATCATCATCATCGAACTCATCGGAAAAAGAATCAGACCATGGAGGAGAACGATCGTAAGTACTTTTTTTCCTTTTTTTTTGTTTAACAATAAGTTATTAAGGGATTGATTAGATTCGTTTCTTTTCAATGAACTTAATTATTCGGTTTCGATTTTAAGATTTATTATCTTATTAACTTTATCAATATATTTTTTAATAAACATACCTATATCAATTATCTGTAATTACATTTTTATTAAATAATCTTTGGGAAAAGAAAAAAAAGAATCGATAATAGCAATTGTATAATATAATATCGCATGATAATATCGTGCCGGTAAGATTTATCGTAGCAAAAGTTTAATTTAATTTCGAGACCGTGAGTCGTCTCATTTCCTGGGCCTTCGTTTCCAGCACCCCATGCAGCAAAGTATATATCTCTGCAGGTCCGCATATTATTTCTCGAGTTGCCGGATTTCGAACTTTAATCCGCCATCGGAGTGAGAACCGGCCAAGTTTTCGTCTAAGATTTCGATAGGGCGCTTGGATCAAGACAGTTCGAATCTGTGCGAAAGTCGTTTTCAAAGAGATACGCTGTAGAAAGTCTGTGTATATATACGGGGTGTTTCAAAAAAATTATGATCTAACTTATACTACGCGTATTATTGAGGACAAATCGATGAAAAAAATGTTCATATAAACTTATGTTGGAAAATGTTTTATGAAACAGATATACACTTTTAAAAATATTTATGATTAATTGTAGTAGTTATTAAAAAATATTTGATATTTCTTTCTTCTGTTAGAATACAGGCTTCCATTCATCTAATTAATAATTGCCGAACTCTTTCAAATATTCCAACTTTATTTGAAATAATAGTAAATACATTTTGAATAGATTCGCAAAGTTCATCTTCTATTTCTACCATATTTTATAGAAATCCAGTGGCGTTTATTCGGATTACCAAAGAGTTCAATTTACAATCAGTAATACGTAGTATAATTTTGGTCACTACCTTTTGGACACCCTGTATATATATATATAATATACCTACCTACATATATATATATCTATAGATATACATACATCCGGCTGTTGTAGTTTTTAGACTTTACAGGAACTAATTTGCTTAAAGTACCGTCAGTTTTTGACGGTGACGATCGTCTCGCGAGCAGATATTTCCTTCCTCAACTATAATGGTGCTCTTAAACTCAAAACTTTCCGCTTGAGAAAGCGCTTTCGACTGTGACATTTACTTTAAGAACGAGAGTTTAAAGTGGTCTGCTTACATTTTTTAACTTTGGAATCTATTACCAGGTGAAACAAGAGATAGAAAAAAGTAAAACGTTGGATTAAGGGATAACTAGGGATAATTACTTTGGGCTCGATCCGGATGCAATCAATTTTTGATGCGTTATAGTTGGCATCGTTGCTCAGCAAACTTTTTCTTTCTTTTTTTTCCTTTTTTTCTTATCTTCCTTTCTCTTATAATCTTTATCCATTTCTCTGATCCTTCTCTTTTTTTTTTTTCATCACCAACCAAATACTGTCCTCTGTTCAGACTAAATTCTTTATTCTCGTCCTTGTTCGTTCCCTTCCCCTATTATAATTAATTTTTCATCCGAGATAGAGAGGTGTATATACGTGAGTAAATGGATGGATGGGTAGACGGCGGATAGGTTGATGGATAAAAGTATATCCATTTTGCAATTTACTTTTTCGAGTTATTAGAAAAAACGTTTGGTAATACCTGTTCTCTACCTCATTTATTTTTTACTCGATAAAATAGAAACAAAAAGTAATTTAGAAAGACGAATAAAAATATTCATTTTTCTTTTACTGTATCCTCTTTTTTTTCATATATGACGTATCTGTATAAAACTAAGTCATACGTATATCTCTACGCGTAGAACAGAGAAACAAGTACATATCGAAAGCGAAAGAGCAAAATTCTCGGCACACGCGGATTCCGCATTCATACATATATCCAATTTCGAGAGAAACAGCCGGTTGAAGCTCCAAGGTCGTTTCGTGGAACAATGAATCTAAATTGTTCCTTCGATATGCGTTCCTGGTTTATGCGTAAAAACAAAACATATTCACTCGAAAGATGACACATAAAATTCTTCCAATTCAACAAATTTCTTTAATTTTTATAAAATTCATGTTATTCTCTTGTTTCGGAAATTTGTTGCAAAAAGACAATTTTTCTTTTCTAATATTTTCGTTACGCTACGAAGATAAAGTTACGATGAATGCATGAAAAAAATTCATTTATTATTTATACTATTAGAAAAAGATTATTATTATTATTATAAAAAATATATATGAACATAGCGGAGATGCATGAGTCAATATTTTTTGTTCTACCTTTTTTATATTTTATGCGAACACACAAAGAGGAAAAATTGCATTTATTATATATAATAAAAGATTCCATAAAACAAGGGGGCTAATTTAAAGTTGGTTTGAAGTATCGCGTGACTTTTTATAAATTTACACTGATAAATAAATATCGAAAAAGTTGATAGGACAATAATATAAATAATTTTCCATATATTCATTCTTGAATAATAATAATAATAATATTCGCTCGTTTTTTTTATTATATCAAGCTTTTTCGTAAGCAACTGACTGTGGAACACACACGTGTCACTGTTATCCCTCTACCGGAAAAATTGACGCGCAACAATAAAAATGCGCGACAATAAAAATACGCTGCTCCGTTAAATTTTTCTCTCTCTCTCTTTCTTTCTTTCTCTTGTCATCTCTCTCTCTCTCTCTCTCTCTCTCTCTCTCTCTCTCTCTTCTTTCTGTCTCTTTTACTAACTTTTTTATTCATACCAGTCTCTCGCGAAAACAAATACGGCATAAAATCGTTTCTACCATCGCGAAAACTAAACAAACGGAATCGGTATAATTATAATTCAACCACACGTGCCTAATTCGCGATTTTCGACTGTCGCTCGTATACACGCGTCACTTAACGCATATATATATATATATTTATATACGTACATATGAAGATAATCATATATACTTATATGTATATGATATGTAGCATATGTTTCGTGAATTCATTCGTGAAAATGTACTATAGATTTGTACCACATCAAAAGCACAACGTCCTATCGATTACAAATCTATAGAAACGTTAACTTATGTATATATGTATGTATACGTATATATCCATGTATATTTATACATAGGTTTATCTACATATGTAAAGTAAAACCTAACCGCAAACTCGAACGGCAGTGGTTCCAAAGCATTACTCGAGTTCTCTCTCTCTCTCTCTCTTCCCTCTCCTTCTCTCGAAATATATACGTTCGCCTCATATGTTGTTTACTTTTTTCTCAATTAGTTTAGTACGAGCAGACGGATCGATCGACCGCGACGTCGGTTTCGAGTATATTAGTAAGTTAGGAGTGACCACAAACACCGACTCTTTTTTAGTCCATAGTAAATGTATCATCGTTGAGTTTTCTTTTATTTTTTCTAAAAAATCAAAAAAAAAACAACATTAAAGAGAATAATCGACCTGTTTTTAGAAACTTCTCTTAATTAATCGATCATCGATAGCGCGTCGAATCAATAACAAATCCAATGCTTGATAAAACGTTTATTATTTGTAGGAAGTAGAAATTAGATAAACAATAGTGTTAAAAGAAAATAAGATAAACGTTGTTTTATATTTGTCTCATGTGTTAGACTTAGAAAAAACAAAGTGAGTATGCGCTCGTCTGTAAACATTGTTGTGTCATTAAAAAGAGGTGAATTATGTACAATATATTATAATAGATGAACAGTCGAGGACATGACAGTTCAGAACAAACAATTGAATTAGAAGAAGGAACCTTAGGACGATTTTTATTGGTAAATATTTTATTAATAAACAAGAGACACGTGGGTTTATTTGTTAATTTAAGATAGTGTCAAAGATATTGTTATTTTTTTATCCTAATATTCAAAAAAGCAAACAAAAAAATATTACAAAAAAAATGAATGAAATGTTTAGAGGTTTTTAATTAAAGATATACAATACAGAAATGTAGAAACAAGAGAAGGGAACGATTAATGGAGACAAAAGGGTAGCCTGTTTAAGTCATTTAATTTTATCTACAAGCTCTCTCTCTTCTTCTCCCCTTCAATTAGAAGGGTAATCATTTTCTTTCATTTGAGCTTCTTCAATTAAATTCTCTTTTTTTTATCTATAAAAGCCTAACTGGAAATTTCGGATTTATACTATTTTTGATCTCCTATTCGTACACGTTTTCCGAAGCTTTAAAAATGTTATCTGGCTATTGATTGATGCATTTCCATTACTTAAATTTTCGTAAGCCCACTTTGTAAATATACATACGTATATAAGTGCACTTTCACACGGATTCACACCGACTCATATTGATTTACATGGATGTGCATGCATGCATTCGGAAAACTATGCGTACGCGACCACTAGAAATGATGATCTCTTTTGAAAATTTCTATGAATTTTCACGTATAACAGCTTTTATTCCTACATTGTACACCTGCGCCAAGCAAAAAGCTTCCACTTTCTAGATTTTATTTTTTTTATACAGGATAAGCCATCAATTTATAAATCATAAAAATGTTTAATACAATTTTAGGAATTGTAGGAATAAATTTAATTAACATTTTTCTACGGACAAGATTAGTTGATTAATTTATTTAAAGAAAACAAAATTTAATTAAAATTATAATACAAATGCAATTTATTTTTACTGCTACGTACCGCGACATACATAATTATTGTTAGTGCATTTCTAATCCCTTCGTAATTACCTAGATATGTCTCTTTTCTATTTTTAACTATTTTTCTTTTCTTTTTTAAGTATAAAGAGAAACATATTTTATTTGTCTATAATAGATTGCTGGTCCAATTCTTATAAAAGGTACTCGACATATATTTCGAACGGTAAAATCGATTTTTCTTTGTCTTACTCTCTCTCTCTCTCTCTCTCTTTCTCTATTGCTTCATTTACTCTTCTCTATTGGCCGAAGTCCCTCGGACACGAGTTCCAATTACCGCCAATCGGAATTGCCTCTGTTTCTAGCGCCCAACACGAAGAATCTTACGTGGCACGTCTGAAAGCGAACTTAAAGGATTGATATTCCTTGGTTACCTGACCAAGATCGTCTTGATCTACGGCACGTCCTTTGGGATTCAAGACGATATAGTTCGTTAGAGAATCGTCTTTCCTTTAACGATTCACAGACCGTTACTGTGTTCGACGATATACTTACCGATCATTCCTATATTTCATTCTATTCATCACTTTTCTCATCAATTTAATCTCTTGAAACTTGAATATTTTCCCAAGAAAATCATCAAAAGTACCGAATCGCATGAGCTTTAAATTTTACGGTGAAATAACAAGAAAAAGCGCTCGTGCGAGAGAGAGGGAGAAAGAAAAATAACAAAATCGAAAGTCGTATCAATTCATTGGTTGAATCTCTCCTTGTCGGAACCCTACTCTCTTCGGCAAACTAACTTTGCTCCATTGATATTCCTGTAGTTTTCCACCAAGTGGTTAGTTCTTCCTACTCTTCCCTTCGTTTCTCCCTACCTTTCTCTATTCCTTTCCGTTACTACGAGGGATCGACCGAAAGTAGTACAGTCGTTTAAAGGGTCGTACCCAAACCAATGTAGCCAATGGATACTTCCGATCATCCCCTCTAAATAGACTCGTCCTTACTCGAATCGAGGAACTTATGGTTCCTCCTTAGAGTACCATCGTCTTTTCCTCGTCGCAGGAAGAAGGGTCGAAGAACCTCTCTTCCAACCAACATAAAACGAATCCCTTCTCGAATCACTTCTAGAAGAGACATAGTAGACAGAAAAAGAGAAAGAAAGGGAAAGGGAGAGGGAGAGGGAGAGGGAGAGGCGGCGTGTGAGGTAGAGGGCTTGGAAAGAGATCTCGATCCTACGAAGAATCTCGATCCAGTCCTTCTCCTTAGTCCTTAAAGTCTACCATCCCTCAACGATTAATTTTACCATGGTACCAGCTCCGTGGCATGCCCTTTTGACGATTTTACTTTAAATTTCATCGGTGAGTGCCTCTCGAAATGCGCGATGACACGAAAGGAAAAGTAAATCTCTGCTCTCTACTCTCGTTTAACTTTGCCTTTACTAAACGTGAAAGTAGACTCCTTTTCCATTTTCTTATTCTTATTCTTATTCCTCTTGTTTCTTTTGTTCTTTTTATTTTTTTTTTTTTTTTATTTTTCCTATATCGTGATAAGAGAATAAGACACTCGGTTCTCATAAAAGTCGAATATAAAATATCGAGCTTTACTACGAGATGAATCAGTTTGCGATCATCGTTACGACCCTCTTTGATTCATTTTTGGAAATGGAAAGGGGATTACATTTTTGCAGGCGTTTAAGGGAAGACGAATGAATGGGCAGACGCAGGCAGTTCAAACCGAAGGAACGTTAGCTCTCTCTCTTTCTCTCTCTCTCTCAACGATTAAGGTAGTAGAAAGAGTACGAGAGTCCCGGAAGGATGATGGCCGCTCGTTTGTCTTAATAAACTGCGTCGAATCCACGCTCGCTGTGGTGCTTGACTTATGGCCAGTCATCTGGTAGGGCGGCTCTACTCATGAGAAATCTTCACTCTCTCTCTTTTTTTCTTTTTCTTTCACTATCCTCCTATTTCTTTATCTTAGCATCATTAGTCCTTGGAATATTCAGAAAGGTTCGACTAATGATTAACCCCTCTTCGATTCATCGATCGAACCAATAAGTTCTGTGTTAACGATGTATAACATTTGTCATTATGACAAACCAAGACTTCTCACGATTATATCTTTTATCGAGTTTAACACTTATCATCGAATATTCGACAAACAATCTATCTATCATTTTTTTTATGATTTTGTTAACACCATGACTGTCGCCACGTTCATAATTAAATTAATTGTACTTTATTTTTATATAATGTTATAATTAAAATTTCTTATATTGTTGAAAAGTAAAGTTTTTCGATCGTAGTATTATTTAATTATGATATTAAATAATTTTAATTCTTCAATATTCATTTTATTTTCATTATTTAAATACTTAAGAAGTTTTTCAGTTACTGATGATCAATGTTTTAACTCTTTTCATCAATGTGATTTTCAAATTGAAAAAAAAAGAAATATAAAAATGATTGAAACGGAATTAAAGAGTTCTGACATGAAAAAGAAAACAAGTGCGAGGGAGATCGGTTGAGCTGATAAAAATTATTCGTTATTGGCCGAAGCACAAGAAGGCGTCAGGTTAGATCATTTTTCTTTGGACTTGCTTATGGTTCGCTACTTAGGCAACAAGCGAGGTCACCACGTCACACCGGTGCTCGTTGACGATTTATCATTTATTTGTATACGCGAGTTGGGAAACTAGGTCTCTCGCCTCGCTTATGTAAACGGTGAGAGCGCACGTACGGGTATAGTTCATCCTGGAATGTTTAACTTTGCCGATGGCAATCTTCGTTGGGGTAAGTGAGCAGGAAAAAATGTAGTAACAGGCGAATATAGGGAAAAATGTATGGGTAGAAAGGGTGAACAAGAAGTGACATGATGAAACAGCCCGAGCACGATAGAGCTTTCTGTCTTATAAAATTACGTTACGTTGGAGAAACATCATTTAATTAATTTTTTTTCTTTCTTTCTACATAGTACAAAGACATTGGAAAGTACTCATGACATAAAGATTATCATGTTAAAAGTTTCTTTAAAATTATGAAATTAAATAAATTTTAAAAGAAATTCTCAGTCGATAGAGAGATCTTTGTTTCATTCAAAATATATAATATTCAAGATGATTACTGATATGTTAAGGTAAATTAATGAATCGTAAGAGAAATAATTGTAAGATATAATGCTTTACTAGGGTGTACAAAAAAAAAATGAATTATTCATTTTATAATTATAAGAAAAGTTAAATCGTGTAAGAGTAAGAGTTTGTGACGAGTTCATTCATCTTTACTAATTAGACGATTAATTATTTAACAAATCGTTCATTAGCCAGATTAAAAAAGTCTACATGTACAAGTAATCAATTTGCGTAATTTGTCTTTGTACAGTTTCGAATATCCGATCGAATAAAATTTCAAAGGTCAATTAATTTCATCTTTTTTTTTTTTACAGAAGCTTTGCCATCTGCCAAATCGGAAATTGACAAAATTCAGCAACCACCCAAGTTGATACTACCAAGCACGTGTCATCACGCATACACATCGTGCAAGTAAGCTTCAATCCACATCGTATGTGGGTCATAATTACGCGATAAGCGATTAATCTCGAATTTTCCATTATTAAAACCGAAACTAAAGCTGTAGCTTATTAATAATATCGTAGATCGATCTATACATATACGCAAAGAGAAAGAGAAAGACAGAGATACTAGAAGAAACAAGGACCAAAAGCATGAACATAGTCATAGTAGAATAGAATGATCATTTTATCATGAGTCTAGATGAGATTTATCGCGCTTAGTTGCATTCAAAGGCGTTAACTACAGTATCGTTTATTTAGGAACGACCCGGAGTGCAAGGAATTATTACAGCCGGTCCTGAAATATTGTGGTTTGACGAGCTGCACGAGAAACGAATGTATGACAGCCCTACAACACTTCTATAAAACGGCTAATCACAAGCACTCCATCGAAATAGCTTTCTGTTTGTGCCGGTGAGTATGGACCTGTTTATGCAATTCTATGAATAAATACTAATCTGCGTAAGTGCTTATTATATAGTTTTGGCAATAAGCATCTTCTCTGTCTCATAAATCTAAAAGTGAAAATTGATAAAAGGAACATGATTATTGTTTAGTAAGTACAGTTATTGTTTCTCTTATATCGTTTATTATTATTATTATTATTATTAATATTTATCGGTTTTTATATTCAACCCTATATATGTAGATATATAAACGTAATAGGAAGAACAAATAATACTAGTCGAGGCACGATCGAGCGATGAAATATTTCCGAGACGAACGCAACATGTTGATAGAACGTCAGCGACAGCCGTGACAACGTAGGTACAATAATATACGCGTGAAACCCAGTATGAATTAGGCGCAACGTGCTACTCCTCGATGCAAAAATTTCCATAATGTTCTATGTGTATTCCCATATGAGTATATGGTCAAACGAATACAGGGTTACAACGGACTGATTCGTAGGACAAAACGCGAACTAGTTCGATTTCAGGAATCATGCATTGTGTTCAATCAGTAGCCAATCAAAAGCATCCGGCTTACGAATCGCCGTCGCGTTGATATCATCGTACGTTGTTACACACGTCAATCAATCTGCAGAAAGATAGATACAACAGAATCAACGATATATCGTAGATTACGTCACGAATGAAAAGTATAAACGAATTGATGGTCATCACGCTATCATCGAGCATTTTGAAAAGGGATTCCCTTTCGATTTATACGACCTACGATATCTATATTAAAACGCATCATCAAAGTTACGATATCATTTTGAGTAACGAGCTTTTACGAACTTGTACGAGGGTTGTATTTTATTCATGAAGACATTCAAGGCGAAGTAAATTGCCAGGTATAAATCTGTTCTAAGTACTTAAGAAGTGATATACTATAGCGGAGCGTTAATATTCTTCATTCGTAAACTCGCGTTCTTAGTGTAAGGTTTGTTTTGCAAATCATGCAACAGGTTGCTTTCTAAACTTCTATAAATGTCACGTATCATAATGGAGAGTTTCAGACGAAAGAGATCGCAAAAGGAATCCTCGACATCTTCCATTTTAAATAGAACGCAACCCCACCGAAGGATTATTATTTTATAGAAATATATTTGTAATATAGAACGCGCGCGAGTTTGTATCGTGTCGTTGATAAATCGTCAGTCGTACGAACAATGTCAAATCGTTTCTTTTAAAAAAAATCTGCGAATGAAATAAAGAGAGGAAGAGACAAAAAAAAAAAAAATAATAAAAAAAGTTAAAAAAAGAAATAAAAAATGTATCCCTTTGGTAAACACACCATGAAGTATTATCGGCGAGTCGACAAACCGATGCATAACATTTTTATTTAATCATCCTTTCAATTAACGCGATCGTGTTGTACAGAAAGGCCGTATTTTCACGGTTGACGGAACGCTCAATCACTATCCAATCAAATTGCACAGCTTTCGAGCAACGTATTACGTGGCTCACCCCGAACCCAACAAAACGAAGTTGGTGTTCGTTCGTGTCGGTTGATGATCACTGCATGCTACAACGCGATCTATTAAATCCCTGGAATATCGTTGGATGCAGCTAACGTAAAGCCGTGATTATCAATTTTCATTAAAGCTGTTTTACGCATTCGCGGCTTACCCGTGATAGAAATTTCATTAAATTTTCTTCCTTCGATCGTAGAACAAATGAGCGAGAGGAAAGAGCTATAGGGGAAAGATAAAGGAATGAGAAAATAAGAGAAAGAGAGAGAGAGAGAGAAGTTTCGTTGGCATAATACTTAGGTAGATTTATAAATATACGTATATGTATATATACATATATAAATTTAAATTTACGTGGACATCCAGGACGATGATAGGATGAAATCTTTCATATTAATTTGCTTGCCTAATGCATCCCATCTCCGAAATTTAACGACGCTGCTAGCTGGCGCTAGCTATTACGGAATGCACATTATGAGACATTGGGTACATTAGGGTTGTAAATGACGATTACAACACGCCGCTCCGACCATCTCATTATGAGAGATAATGTACCCTTAATTCATTCGCGTGTTCTCGTTTTACCGGTCTAATACTGGATACTTTTAAGAATAAAAGAATTTATGTCGTTTCCCGCGTACAAAGATATTTATATTTTGTTGTTGATATTTTACGTTATTCGGGTAATCTTTATTATGTGGGTAATACTTATTTTGATACTCTTAGTGTATAAGAGGTCTATGCTTTAATTAAGTTGTCTGTTTTATATCACTGTCCTATTCCAATGCAATTTCAATTATACTTATATGGCGCATAAAGAAAAAGGAAAAGGAAGAGAGAATGAGAAAAAGAGAAAAAGTAAGAGGAAGAGAAAGAGAAAGAGAAAGAGAAAGATAAGAGAAGAAAAATTAAGTGAGTGTGTGAGTGAATAAGTGAGAAACAGGGAAGCTGTATTTGATGTTCTATACCGAATTCATAAAAGCCGCACAAAAGCGTCCAATTAAAGGTCAATCGAGCTGTCTCCATCGAAATGGCAATATACCTTCCACAATAACCATGTAAACTGATATTAAAGCGTGAACACGTCAGAACTACGTAATAAAGTTTTTACGAGAAATCGAACGTATGTATGTATGTATATATTGTACATATATATCTACATAATCAACATTAATCGGAATTGTTTCAAAGCTAAATATTACGTAGCGTTATATCTCAAGAGAGATTGCATTAAAAATATTTGCATTCAAATTAACTATCAATTTAAAACCATATTCATTGAATAACTACGTATATCGAAGCAATAAAAAAAAACCTATATTTACAATGAGAAATTCTTTTTTTTATTCATAAAAATTGATTTATTTTCATTTAAAATTTGAACATATACAAGTCTATAAAATGATTTTTCACGTATCTCAGTTCGGCACGATTAGTCAGGCCTAGAAGAGAGAAAGAATAGGAATGAGGCATTCGCAAAAGTTTCGCATCAGTTAGTAGGTCCCATGAGAATGCGGAAAAAGGAGGCTGGATAGAGGCTTATCCTTTCTAACGAGGCTTCTATAACTTTTAAGTGGCTTTCACCGGCAAAACAATGCAAAAACTTTCCTTCCTCGACGTTTTCCACATTTCGTTTTATTTTCTTTACCCTCTTCTTATTCTTATTCTTCTTCTTCTTCCCTATACACCCTTCCCATCTTCGTCACTACTCATTCTTTCATTCGATCTTTTCTATCTACTTTGTTTCTTTCTTCCAGCAGCCTTCTATTTTCGTAAGTCTAGGGTCATCCTTTTGTTCGAATTCATTATTTTCTTTATCTTTTTTTTTTTATTTATATGATTATTTGATTTATTTTTGTTTCTACGTTTTCTTTTGTACAGGGATGAATACGTACGCTTGTACATTTTCAGTAAGTTGACTTAATAAATTTTAATTTTTCTCCCTGTCTTCATTTCTTTTTTAATATATCACATTACTTACTGACAGTAAATTAAATGTTTATATACAAAATATCGGTTAAATTGAACTCGAATTTGTCGATAATACTATATGGTTTATGTGGATAAAATAAAATAAAAATCATTTCTTCTGCAGATTGTAAATAATTATTAATAACAATATTCACAGAAAGCTGAAATAACAAAATGGTTTCATATTTTAATATCACACAAGAATAATGTTAAACATAATAAAATGTTATGGAAATTTTCCATTAAATGTTGTGTAATAACAATTAAATAGAATCGAGTTTTAATCGATTGATCAATAATCGAGATCATCGAAAAGCGTATTTTTAGGCTATCAGTCAATAAATGCTGGCAGTGTAAATCTTATTAATTGGTTGCTAGTAAATAGCAACTATAACACGTCAAAGTTACATATTCTAACTACTGTTTTAATATAATACAATTGCTCGTACAACGTATTATATAATAAAATACGGTAATTACCCGCATTCCAAAACTAAATTTACTTTAATTAAGCATTACATTGTGGTATTCGTTGTTATCTATTTCATCTCTAACGTAATTGTATTTTTTTTTATTTAGAAATTTTGACCACTTTATTATAAATAAATAGTTTGCAGAAGCAAAAAAATTTTCTCAATATTTAACAAATTCAATACAAGGGCCATTTTTCGCATATTTCGCTTTTGGGCAGCAATTTTTTAGTTCGTTTTTCCACTGAGCGTACGTTGATTTGAATTAAATGTATTCACTAATACCACCAATGATACAAGCCGACTTATAGAACAGCCATGCATGGACGATTAGTTGTACAAACCGTTCGATGAGAAAATCAAACATATACCATCGGTTTTACATCCCAGCATGTGAATGTATTAAATATTATCGTATTTTATTTGAAAATACATTTCCGTGAAATTATTTTGAATATTACTTGTAAGACAAAAAAATCATGTTATACGAGGAAAAATTTTTATGTACAACGCGAATTCATATTAACCACGTTATACTGGAGTCTATTATATTTTATTTATTTATTTTTCTCACGTTCTTTTTCTTTATTACCCAAGGACCCACAACCTTATTACATGACACCATCAGGGAGGTAACTAAATAAATATCGAACTATGAGGAAATAAAAGTGAGTGATATAAGGCTTAACTCGAAGAAGCTGAATAAAATACGTAGCCAGGTCGTTTAATGCTCGCTGAACAATACACACCTTGCGGTATACCTCTTTGGGAATTCTTCTCGTAAGAATCTCTGGGAATAAGCTCTCGTTTTCTACGAGAAGATGAGACATGAAGGAAGGCTAGAGCAAGAAGAGAAAGAAGAATAAGAAGAAGAAAAGAGAAGAGAACAAAATGGAAGAAGAAATGATATGCTCTTGGTCTTCCCTTCTGTTTCAAAAGGTGCTTTGTCTTGCGGTAAATTGGCGCGTCTGCACGATTCGTTTCGGATTTACCTCGCGTTATTTTTTTACAAAGGCCTCTGCATAAAGAAACGTTGCAGTACCTGTTCCCTTGAAATGTGGTCTTTGGAGAATCCTCTTCGCTTCTCTTCTTGGACATTAAACTTGCGAACATAACGTCGTGTGTGTGAATTATTATTGAACGTATTTTACGATGCCTCATTGCGAGTTTTAATAATTCATTTTTAAATAATAATTATCTATTGATTCGTTTTATTTTTAAGAAAAAAAAAATACGCACCATGTGTATTAACAATTTTTAAAAAGATTGAAAATAATTGCAATGATAACAAATTATTTACGAATAATAAAGAAATAATTTATCAATTTCATCTTAGATTTATATACATTTGCTTACGTCAATAATGATATCAGAAGATTAACAATTGTTTAAATAGTATATTCTTTCTCCATTTTATAGAAAAACTGATGGCAGAAAAGACGAGTGCATAATTGCTCAAGAAAAAATGCATCCAGCATGTGCGCAACGTGTTGAAGGTGTTGATATGCCAACATGTCACAGTTTAGCAGAAATTTGCAAGAAAAATGAAGTCTGTCGGTAAGTATACATTTTCTATGATTAGAATAATTAAAACTATTTTCATTTTTCACTTAAAAAATTGTTCGATCTTGCTATATCCTGTTAAAGAGTTTAATTAGTTCATTCAAATTTTAGAATGTTTCATATTCCGTCAAAAAAATTAATTTAAAGCGTTCAGTATCTTTTTATTCGCAAGTGATTTCATCGTAATGATAAAAAAATAGCCAGTATTTTTATACCACTTAAATCTAAAATTATAATATATACGACAATGTATAATTACAACTCTTATTCGTAACAATTGATATAGCTAGACGATGAAAATAATTATTCGACAATTCGAATTCGTTATTCGACAATTTAATACTAAATAATTGTATTTTTAATAACTGTAATGTATAAGATGAGTCATTTACATTTGTAAAATTGGTCGCCATTAAATCAAAGATAAAGAAGTGTATTTTTGATAACTAACAATGTTAAGAGTACCTTTGACCTACATAAATTTTTAAAGTTCATCTCATTTAGAATATAGATGTGCTGTTTGTAAAACTCCCTTCGTTAAAAATTTCTTTTACTTTCTCTTCTTTTTTTCGTTTTATATCTCGTAGACGAATAAATATTCACGTTGAAAAGATTTCTTGTGAATTTTAGCCCTTTACTTATGTTAGTTACTCAGATCTTTATTACACGTGTTTGAAAAATGCAGTTGAATTATAAATTCTTTCAGTACGTTTGTTTTTAAAAACAATTGACTTTAACCCCTAAGCTGCGCCGCATTAAATTTTATATTTTATCGAAAAAAGAAACAACGCTTTTTTTTTAAAGGAAAATTACCTTATGACACATTACCTAGACATTTTTAATAATAAAACCTATCGTATTAGACTTCTTTTAATTTTCTTATTGACGATGGTGCACGCTTAGCTTTTGATCGATCGAATGACTCATTAAATTTATCCAAACGATTTTTCTCTTCTCCCTTTTGCTCGACTTAGGAGTCACTTAAGAAATTTTAAAACCGCCGCTTTTTCTCTAATTACTCAAACGACGGGCTCATTTAGGGAAACGTCTTGACGTCCCTCTTTTAATTCTCTGATTAATGAATCAAGTAGGGTCGCATTTTTCCTTCTTTAAATCGACGAAAAATCGTTCCAATTCTGTCCTTGTGTACTCACTTACGAGTACTACCAATTCATTTACCGTTAATCAAACTATCTAAACGTTATTTTAATTCTTCCCTTTTTTTACGTCTTTCCTGAAACATTTAGCTCAAGATTGGAGCGTTACGAACAGAGTTGTGCGGTAGACAGCGTAACGAAAAAATGTGCTGGACCACCATCAGATTGTAGAAAAGCGATGCTTGGTATACTTGGTACTGAACTTCGTTCGAATTGCGCTTGCAAAGGCACCGACTTTACGCAACTCTATGACTGCCTTGGTTGGCAGAGACTCCTTTGGGTTAACCCGTGTGTAGGTAAGTTAATTAAGTTCTAGAGACACTCTAAGCGCTCTATGTTATGCATGTACATTAGCTGAAAACCAGAGTTGTAAGATATATATATATATTATCATATTCTCGTAATAAGTTTACACATAATCTGCTTTTCAAAAATGACTTTTATTTTCCACATTTATTTTAACCTTTATCTCGTTCTTCTACAAGAAATTTAAAATATCACAAATGTTGTTATTTTTTAATTAAAAATTATATCAAATGTACATAGGTATGTACTGTAAATCGATCTCATTTGTATGACATTGACGTTCGAAAATTGCTTTATATTAATCAGGAGAATCAGTATTATTTAATATGTATTGTTGCCCTCATAATCCAATCATATTCGACTATTATTATTAGATATCGTGACTAGCAAAATCTATTTAAATTCGATCAACAAATTCTATGTTAATATGTATACTCGAGCATAGCTACCCACTTATTTTCAAATTACAATAGTTATTTCCAACTTTGGAAAATATGTTTAGCAAATAACTACCAAAGTAACAAGCTATTTATCAATACTAACGCGAGCATCATAATAGTAATTATAATTAATAATACTTTATTATAATTGATCACATATTTTTAAAAATAATACTAAATTATAATACCGTACTATAATTAATAATACATTAGCTTTGAAATTTCAAAAATTTAACTATCCAAAAATATATAATAGATTGTGTATTATAATCATTGAATGAATCTTATAATTTTGATTAATGTAGTATTAATATAACTAAACTTAATTATCGATAAAAAATTATATAATATTTTATAGTCACGTAATATATAATTTAGATTTCAATTTTATTCCAATCAATTTTATTCTTATTCGATAATATTTTATCCATATCTTAAATAAAATAGGTCAGACTAAGAGGATCGATTTAATCCTCGAAAGAAATGGGCTCAAGTTTATTATAGCTGTAACGAATATTTTATTGTGTGACAGATTAAGAAAAAGAAATTCATTTCGTTCTTTTCGAAAAAGAAAAGGTATGAAAATATCGACTTAATTTGGTGCAACGCTGTTAGGGGACTTGTATGACTATCGCCTACGGGTTGGTGTCGTGCAATATTTCAGTGTCCAGAGGCTCCAGGCTGATTACAATTTCAGGTGGAACCGTACCATGCCGTCGGGTGGTCCTGCCTAGGTTGCTTCACCCTTGCAATGATAGAAATTGCGAAATGAATAATGGAATGCTGCAAACGGTTATATATCATTGCTTTTACGCTCGTGTCGTGTAATAATGAGCATGTTTATGGAAAACGTCGTTGATGAAGGATTAGAAGGGTGAAGAAAAGTGAAGCTTATTTTTTTATCGAGTTTATAAAATTTCAAATATAAATGAATTAACTTTTAAACGAGCGTAATTTATTAATTATAGGGATGGAGATGAATTCATTTGTCATGTTCATAAAACAATTTCTCTTATCCTTACAATGAATAAAATGTGTTCTGAACCTTTTAACTAGGGATTGCTAGTTATATCGTCATAGTACTTTAAAGACAAGTCATTTTTTATTGTATAATAAATATTTATGATACCTGATTATTAATAATCACATAAAGCATAAATTGTTACTTTACACATTAGAATATGTGGGCTATTGGTAAATTAGTTCTTCAATTAAAGACATAAACTTTGGTTAGCCAGTATTAATAAAGAAAATACTTAACAAAAATCGAGATTAAGGAGGGATTACTGTAAGATGAATTATACAATGTAATAGTTAACTTATATTTCGGTCAAAACGTAAATAAGATTTCTCTCTCTTATATCGTTCAGTTGAATCTCAAAAGGACTACCACGTACGTCGAAAACACCATCACTATCCAAGAACAACGCCGATTGGTACTATACCTTCGACAACGACAACGATGACAACATTGTCGTCGACTACGAGAACACATATAAGCATGACGGCGACTACGACGGTCACCGCGGTCGAGCGAGTTGAAGATAATCAACTACCGGAAGTAACGAGGTGGCCGACCACCGAACCCACGGAAACTTTAGAAATCACGACTAACACTGTTAGCACGACACCGAGCACGACTACAACGACTACCACACCGCCTCGTGAGTATTGTCTTTTTTGTTTAACGATTGTTTCAGGACTTCTCTCTAAGATAATATTAAAATATTAAATTATTTCGTATATAGAGAGAAGTATCGTTATAAAGAAAAAGATTCTAATAAAACGTCAATTACTCGTGTATCAACAACAACAACAACTATAATAGTACTATCAAATAAAAAGTATGTTGATACAATCATGGCTACGACTAATATTTGAGCCACTTCGTCGTTTGCCAAATTGATTAACTCTGCAAAATAAAATGTAGAAAAAATTGTTAAATATATATCGTTAAATTATTTATTATTGAACGATCACATACAAATTGGTTTCATTTGGTCAAATTTAATTATATTGAGGACATTTATTTTAAATATAAAAAATGAAATTTTCAATTGTTTCTCTAAAATCTGAATTGATCGTTTTAGAAATGACATACTGTGATCATATATATTTATATTAATTGTAAGTAATAAATATTAATCTTGTTTAACAGGTTTTTGTGTTGTTCAAAGACCGAGACAGAGTCATCAGTATATACGAGAGGGTAAAGGGAAAAGGGTGAGTTAATTATTTCCTTCGACTAATAACACATATTTATGTGTGTAGGTAAGTTAATTGTATATAATGAAAGTGTTCTTGACGTTAAGGTTCGTCGAATGAACGCGCTCTTATCGATTAACTATGTAACACGATAAACGATCTTGTCGGTAGCTTTATCGCGAAGACGAGCCAGAATGTTCAGAGCTCTGCCAATGTGGCGAAGGTGAAGTTCTTATCTGCAATACGATCTGCGTCGATTCGTCTCCTTGCAAAACGGACTTCGCATACTATAACCATGAGGCCCCAGCTTATCAAGCCCATCGTGGTCCATGCCTTTGCTATAGCGGTGGTTTCATATGTATGCGTCCATCACCTGGTAAGTAAAGCCATTTTTGACGCATTCGCTTGAACATATTCTTCGATCTCTCATGTCGATTTTATCCTTTGACACTTTCTATCCTATATACCATAATACTTTTTCAATATTGAAATAACTACAATTTTTCATATTTCATATTCGTCGTCTCGATATCCGCTTTGTAATATGTATATGCTATATTTTTAGGATACCTATGTGATAAATATATTTCCTATTGAAAAAAAATAAAAAAATAAAAGAAAGAACATATTTAATATTATATTACTTAGACGTGGATACATGCAAAATATCGATTAATTTGAAATCGAATATTTAGTTAATACTATTAGAATTTTGTGAATGAAATAAAATAGAAATCTACGGTACGATTTCTTCTACTAATTATTAATGATCAATTATAACAGAATGGATTTGTGTTAATTGGTTAAAAAAAATAATATTAAATATAATAAAATGTTAAAAAAAAATAACGCGTTAAATGTTGAGCAATAACTATCAGATAGAATCGACTTTTAGTCGATTAATCAAACTTATCTAAAAGCTTATTTTTAAGCTACCGATCAATAAAAACTGACAGTCGACTGCCAATAAGTAACGTGTTAATAATTATTCCTATGGATAAACGAAATGTGAAAGAAATAATGATAATATATTTCCGATTTTTATATAAAAATAATTAATAATTTAGTAATATAATAATATAATGATTGTAATAACTATAGTAATAGTAGAGTTAGTATCTGCGAAAGAAATAAAGTTCAACATAAATATGTAACTATATACTAATACTGTCGTATAGGAGATATAAAATGTGTGTATATGTAATAAAAATGATCTTTCTAATTTATTTTTTTCTCATAACAGGAGCGTATAGTATACCGCACGGAGTTTTTATGTTCTTGGGATATAGCGAGAAGGATGAAACCTTGCTAAGGCCACACAATAATCTTACGGTTCTAGATGCCGTGTCGTCTCTCGACAATTTTATGAGAGAGGAAGTCAATAATCAGGTAAATTGTGTCAAAACGATATACCACCGAGATAATGGTATGATTAAAATTTGAATTAACAATGACTAACATACTATATTAAAGCAGAAGCCTATATCGATTCGTTATGGTAAAAACTTTTTGTTCCTTTTTTACTCGATCGAAACAAAATTAAATAAAATTTCAAATTTCTATGAATATAATATAAAGACTTATATCTATTTCCTTCTTAAAATCGTACCACTTTTAATAATTCCTGGTATCGGCGAATAATTCACTGAAAATTTGTCGCTTGCAAAGAAGAAAATTGCTTGGAAAAGAAAGTTGGTAATACGGAGAAACGTGAAATAACGTTGAAACGTTTTTTATTTTCCTTTTACAGACTGTATGCACGCTCTTCCTCTACAATATGACTCGAGAGAACGTGATTGCAGTAGCACGTCTTGGTACGGACAATCCACCCTTAAATAGCAGTCAAGCTCAAAGCTTGCAACACCTCTTGCGAGTTAAGGTAAGCAAATACTAATCCGTCTATTTATACTTGTATGTATATATGAGTTCATTTAAGTCGTTTCATACGAACGATAATTCTAATCAAATATTATAATCATGCAAACGCGATAAAAAGAAAATTATGTAAACAGCAATTTAATTAAATTATTCTGAAATTATTTATAGTTACTATTTTATATCGAAATGTTTATGCTTACAAGATATAGTGATCATTGAATAAAGTAGTGTGTACGAAAATCGTGTAATCGAAAAGTGGAAATAATGTCGAAGTTTTAATTGATAGTAGTTCGCGAAACGAAGACTTTAAATGGGTAAGAAATCAAATAAAAGGAAATTCACCGAGTTCTCGATTGTGTTTGCTTGAAACGAAGCAAGAAAGACGAAGTAATATTATGTTGCAATAATGAGCTTAAATTCTAACTTCTTTAAAGAAATCCAACGAACCTAACGCTAAGTTAGTTCTTTAGAAAATCTTAAATACTTTACTTTTCGTTACAGGCAGACAGAGATTTTATTATCGAGGTTTTAACCATCGTTTTTTAAATTTCGATGACGTGACCTTAAACTTTATTATAATGCAATTTAGATAAACTATTACCTCGTAATAATTATCTCGTAATTACTATCAATAAACGTAAATAGAGTTCCGTTTACAATATGACAATAAATTAATTTCGAATAACACTGAAAACAATGTTTATCGAAAATTAAATGGATATAACATTAAAACTTGCATGATTATTTCTCTATTGTCACTTTATTCTATGAAAATAACTTTCGCAATTTATACTGTGTGTGCCCCGTTAGAAATATAATATTCTATCATCAAGGAAAATACTTTTCCTATGGTTTTATGACCCATTCCTAAACTGCAACTCAGAAGGCTAAATAATCTCTTACTGGCCAGGTCACTACTTTGATATGTTCATTGTAAACAAATCGAGACTTCAAAGGTCTCCGCATGTTTCCGCTATGTCAACTAAAACAAACCTATTTCTATATTCGTATCTTAGAGCTACGGTATAAAATCCAACATCTAATATGTTAGTAAAACTCATTATTAAATGTAAATATTAATATTGAGAAACGCATTAGCATAATATGCGTACGGTGATATGTAGTTATTACTCGCTTAAAGTCTTATGAATGGAGGCAATTAACAACGAATAGATTTAATCATCGATATATTCTATGAGCACGCAATCGAAACTCTCGCGTAACAAGCGAGATATCGATAATGTAAGCACCAAAATCGAACACGCTTCTAATCTTCGAGATTGAATTAAATCGCGTTCATCATTAGTATTTATTCAATTCTCAGGGGAGAAGGAAAATGTGGGCAAATATTTATTCGATTAATCTTCTAACATTAATTGTGATTTTAAATGAGTAAACGTTAAATATAGTCAATAGTAATATACGAATATAGGAAATAGTAAGTATGCCGTGTTCTTTATTTTTTTATTTTTTTATACGCCTAGGAAATAAACTCGAATCGAATGAAACATTAAATTGGCATCGAATCGTCTCGAAAATCTGCAGGTGAAAATCCGTCTAATTCGTCCTCATGCATAAAATGAGGGGAGGAATTGAAACGGCTGGATGACGCTCCATAAGGGGTGGTAGTGACGACAAGAGAGGGTAGAGGATTGGGTAGAGAAAGGGAGGATTTCTACCTGCAACCAAAGCCGATTGACCGGCGCAAAATGTCGCACATTTAAAGTTCCGTTCACATCGAACCGTACTGGATACATCGGCCGATTGCATTGCCGTACAAACGTTCTATACTAGGTGGGCAAAGTAAAATGTTACATTTAAATTTATCTTTGAAATATTTGCTTCCTCTTTTTTTATGTCTGTGCAACGTTTAAAATATTATCAAACTGTTTTAAGTCAAAAGAAACAAAAATCTTAAATGCTATCAAACGTAGAATTACATTTGAAAAAGTACAAAAAAAATATGTCTATTTCGAAATAATTTTGTTAAAAAAAAAGAAATGCTCGTTATTTTATCATCTAAAATCATTTTTATTCGAAATATTTATTTACTATCTTTAAAAGAGGTCTATTTAAAATGTCTCACCCTGTATAGGAAGAACGAAGTAGAACGAAGGGAGGAAAGTTAAAAGTATCGAAAGTTTCGAGCGGGTTACGTGAGCTTCCAATGCGATTTCCAATTTGCGATTAAACGTCGACCGATTTGCAATTTGATGGAAGCTTCGCGGATTTGAATGGACACCGTGGGTGCTTGCTATTTCATTGAATGTCACAATACACACTTTTTCCAACTTTGTTTCTCTCCCATTTTCTCCCCATCTATTTTACGTTAATTTTGATTAAATATTGAAGTCGACATATTGCCGGGTATCGAATTTTAATCGACGTTACACATGACTTGTACTGATGTGATATATATACACATTATATGAATCATATATACGTTTTTTGTTATTTTATTTATTTATTTTGTTTAGAAAAAATAGTAGGAAAGAAATAATGAATTAATAATTGAAGCCGTAAGTAGGCTAAATATGCAATAGTTTTATCGGAGGAATGGATAAGTAACTCATTCGTGTGCTTCACTCGTATGAAGCATATTACTGGTCAATTTAAAATACAAGCTTTGAATTGGCTGAACGAGACTTTGGACAGCACCAAAAAGTCAATTTCTTTGTTCGAATAGATCAGTACGTGCTTCGAAAGGAAAAGGAACTTTTTTCTTTTACCATCATAATTGGATAACTAATCGCTTTAGAATTATCTTCACAAATTGTCAGTAATCGTCGAGGAAAATTGCTTTGACTGTATCAATCGATTCCGAGATCTTTTACGAGATTACTTGCAAGGAAAGAAACAGAAAAAAAAGAGTTAATCATCTTTAGATTTATCAAGATTCATTTAATTTAATATCTCTTTTGATAATAGCAAAATCAAATAAATCGAATTTTGAAATTAGAAAATGAATAGATTTTCATTCTAACTATAATAATTGGACTATACGTTATTTTAAAAAAGATAAAATAGAGAGAGAGAGAGAGAGAGAGAGAGAGAGAGAGATAGAAAAAAAGGGAGAAAATCTTTGAAAGGTTTTCGAGGAAAGCTCGAGACCACACCAATCATCGGATGACGGAAAATGGTCTGCGCACGGTCTACGAAATGCTTTTACTAGCATCGATGGCAACTTTCCAGCGCTTTACCAGCCGTCAACGAACCATAAATTACATACCTAGGCGGAGCTACTTTTTTTTTTCTTTCTTTTCTTTTCTTTTCTTTTCTTTTGTAAATGCGCGAGTTTCTTTGAACAAGCGTACGATTAAAATCTATGTATTTAGTGCTATCAACAAAAATTAATCAGCAAGGACATACTACTACGATCTAATCTAAGGATAAGAATAATTGAATATGAATAGCATTAATCAATTGTCTTATCCAAAACAAGTACTTGACACAAACGTTAAAAATTTATAGATATATATTACAAGTGATTAGAAAATGATAAATAATTTTATATACAATAATAACAATTATTATTATTATTATTACAATATAAATTAACCAAAGTAACATATTTAAATAAACATAACATAATTGTGATAACGATTTTGATATATTCGTCAAATCGTTAATATAATATTAATTATTCGATTAAAGAGATGTAAAGGAAATGTTAAATTTGGTCGAAGGATAAAGTTGTTCGGAGATCGAGTAAGTTAGTAAGGAATAAGCAAGATCCAAGAGAAAGGACTCCTCGAATTAGCACGTGTCGTCGATCAACGTCGGTGATCTCTACTATGAACTGAATTCGGCATAGGTATCCGCCTACTCGTAGATAGGACCGAATGAGTTTCTAATAAAGCAATTAAGCGATAGACCAAAGTTATGGCACGTAACTGCACACCGCAGTTAGCGTACAGAAAGAGATAGAGAGAGAGAGAGAAAGAGTGTGTGTGTGTGTGTGTGTGTGTGTATGAGATATAGAGAGAGCGAGAAAGAGAGAAAGTATGAGAGAGCCAGACTCTTCCCCATAAAGCACGCTTTTCGACCTCCTGTAAATCGATTTTCGATCCTGAAATGTTCGAAGCGTGTAGTTAATTTGAGGACACGATATTTTATACTCGATTGATTTCTCTTTATCGTATTATTTATATCGTTAATAGGGCGATAAATAGAATAACAATGTGGTCTCGTTCAAAATGAATGATTAAAGATAAAAGGGATATCTATTAACCCAGAGGTAAAGGTTTTATTTTTCGATAATGAATGTGAAAAGGTTTCAGGATGTTATTTCATGTCGGCTTTGGTTCACGGTAAGGATACAAATAAAAATACTATTGGTAATTTGATAAAAAAAATAGAATAACATTTTATAGAAAATCACGCGAAAAGGGTTTTGAGAAATGAAAGTATTTGTCTTTCTCTTTAATGGGAAGATATGAAATCAGAATAGAAGATCTTAGGGGTAAATTGTTCTTTAGATAGAAAAACGATAGAGAAAAAGAGTCGCTTATCGGTAATAATGGTCATTCCGTGGCCAATGACTTTACGCAATTCCCTAAACTCACATCTCTCTATCACTTTTGCTAGTACCCTTTTACCCATCGTCCTATATATTAGATTATATTCTATACCAATAGTATATAGAGATATACGTATATGGTATGTATATATATAAATGTAGTACATATCCTGAACCTCCTCGAATCGTTTATCTATTTGTCCATCAATCCGTCTCTCTTTCTCTTTTTCTCTCTTTCTCTGTCGTTTTCCTATTCGCTTAGATTCTCTATCTCGTTTGGTAGATCGAAATACTCTATCCTCCGTGGTCAATAGAAGAAACGATTTTGAGTAATCCCGACGGATCGTGTCTACCTAGTCCCTTACCGTTCATTCTATCCTCTCGATCCTTCGTCATTGTTACACCGGTCAACATTGGTGCAGTTATTTAAATCAATATTCTAAATAATGTTTCTATGCTTGACATTATTTATTGGGGAAGAA